CACACACACACACACACACACAAGTAAGAAATAGGGTACTTGCATCTCCTCGTTTTTTTTCTGTCATTTGCTAATGAAATTTAAGCCTATTATATTTCTAATGATGGTACTAGTACATTAAACTTTTTTTTTTTACTTAAACAGAATAATAACATGCACAAAAAAACAAAACAATGCCATACAACTGTTGTAATTAACTGGCTGTCTAACTAATGCAAGAAGGGATTAAATTAATTACCTTAGCTGCTCGATCTGAACACCACAGATTAATTTGACAGATTAAAACTTTGTCTTTCTACTGGTTATAAATGATGCAGTATAAAATGTCAGAGAGAATTATGGCAACTTGTAAAAGATGTGGCATACGAGTGTGGCAAGTGGGTCTGATTTTCTGGTTTATGACTCCATACACAAATTTCTCCATTAGTAATTTCTATATAATACAGTAATCTATGTTACATTCCATACTCCAAAGAGGGGTGGTAAATAAATTAGAGAAGGAAGAAGACCTAGAGAACAAATTTTCATATCAGGGGAAAATTAAGGATATTTTAATATATTTCATAATAAAATTAAGAACTTAAAACTCCTATAATATTAAAAGTTGATTCAATTTTGAATGTAACTCTAAAAGGTTATAATGTGTACTTTGACCTATCCATTGCAAGAGGGTTAACATCCACGAGTCTAAGATTACAATAGACCCTGATTTTATATTAGTAAGTTTCACTAGATGAAAAGAAACTTTCTTGCAATTCCTTTCCCATACACACCAAAAAGAAAATATTTCAAGTTTTCATAAGTTAGCCACAGTTTAAAACATCTTTCCTGAAATCAGATCACATTTACATATACTTTGCAGTGGTGCTTCTTTTCTTAAGATGATGTTATACAGAAATATTCTTACCAAATTTATGACTTGAGGTAATGCTACTAGATCTGTGTTATGTAAAGTTTACTCCTCTGAAGTGTTGATTTATTATTTCTTCAAAATATTTCAAGGATTTAGAGTAATCTTACATTGATACAAGTATCTATTCATACTTTATATTAAACATAAACAACAAAAGACCATAAAAATATGAAAAAGATACGATCCAATAAGTTTTGATGACAACGATGTCTTGGCAGCATTCACAATACAGTCTCGACCTAATTCATCCACATTTATGGTCAGGTTTTCTTGTATGTACTTACAAGCTTCTCTGAAAGGGAGAAACTTTTTTTTTAAAGCAGCACAATCAAAGGTTCAGACAAATTAACTATAAGAAATCCTCTCTCAGAGTCTGCCTTGAGTTTCTTCAAAGGTATATCTCTGAAATATGTTTCATCATTGAGAGGAAACTAAAGCATACAATTACGTACACAATAGATATGAATTTTATACTTTAGCACTTTTTTTTTCTACTTAAAAATTTGTCATTTTAATACAAGTATTTTGATATAACTAACTACACATTACCTTTACAATTGTTTTATATTACCACAAAATTCTTAAAACTAATTTAAAAACTGTTTAAAAGTTTCCTGATTGTAGGGATGTCATTGATATCTTCTGTGGATACACTTAACCAAACTGCATGAAAATTAATACAACTTGATCCATTATTTCTACAATTTTTTAGGTTGTGAAATTTCCAAGGTTTTGTTGTATGACACTGTTATTAAAAAACATTAACACCATTTGTAATTTTTTTTCACTGTACAATCATACTCATGCAATATTCTTTATCATTAAAATCCCTGATTTGAGTAAGAAAATCCTTTCATATCTTCAAGTTTTTATTTTAAGATACCTTTTTTAAATACTACCTAAGTATTGAACCTGCTTACTCATACAACTTAAGTAAATGTCATCAAAACTCATGAATAATAAAATTTAAAAGCATTACTAATATATCTTGAAAATGAGCTACTTTTTTTATTGAAGATAAGAACCTATTTTTAACTGAGGACATTCTTATAAAACCAAGATTGTAATTAAAAAGCAGTTCATTCATGAAATTATATAAGCCACAATGTGTCAGTTTCATTGAATAATAGTGTCTTCAAGCAACAATTTCTCAAAGTGGAATTTTGACACAGAAACTAGAATATAAATTAAAACTGATAGTACTAGGTGGTAAAAAAAAGAAACAGTTGATATGACACAAGTTTTGCCAATTTATATTTATATTAAAGTCAACTTTCCTTAACCAGAAGTTAAAAAGAAATTTAAATTTGTTACTTTTTCCCAGTTTTAAACTTATGAGAAATGTGAGTTAGGACCTGTAAGATCTCTGTCATACACCATAAGCCTTTGTGATTTTAAATTAAATATGCAAATAAAATATAGAAAAGAAACAAAAATACTGATGCTATGCAACTTTTCTTAACAAGTATGAAAATATGAGCAGTTTCACCTAACAGCATTATAAAATACTAAAACTAGTATTGATACAAAGCAGTTCCAAGATGTACTTTTTCATCAATAAAGACAGCATCAAAAAGAAACCTCTAGCATTTTTGAAATATGTTTATCTCGTAAAACAAATTTATAATCATGTTTTACTATGATTGTTACATTTAGTTCTGATTATTGTTTTACAAGAAAAACAATTCAACAAAGCCATTAATTTTATGTCTTGTGAATGAGACCATTTTGATCTTGTATTAGCCCCTTGTAAATAAACTTTAACAAATAACTAGAATGGTGAGCCAAGAATCTTTATTGTGCTTAGCAACTAAACTCTGCCTACCTAATTAATCCTGTCACTAACTCTATGGAGTAGAGATATTCCAACTTTAACTTAAAAACATCAACAGTAGTCATACGATAAATTTAACAATGAACTTACATAGTACATACTAAATCAAATCCAACCTGTTTAAAGTCATAGTAACATCTTCCAAACAATAAAAAATATTTATTTACAGTAACTGCACTTACTTGCAGGCCAATCTGTATCCACTAATGATAGATGTTGGGTGGATCTTACATTTAACCAATTCATCAGCATTTTTTAGAAGTTCAGCTGCAACTATTACCTAAAGTAAAATAAACTGTTAATTAATGAATAAAAGAAAATCATAGATTAAAATATAAAATAAACAAACACTATAAGTATAATCTTGTATGAGTGTTTCATCTCAAACCAACAATATCTAAACTTTTCAAACCCTTAAAATAATATGTTCAACATTAATAGTGACTAAGAAACATGTTTCACAGGCATTGGCATTTTCAGGATCTGACAATCTCAGGTCATTTGATACTGCACTCAACTTGATAAACCATTTTGTATTAGTATAATAATTTTAAAACTATTTAACAGCAACATTATGCAGCATAATAACTCTTCTTCAAGTATCTGCTTCAAAGTCAAACTTAGATAACAGTTGTACCAACATAAATATGAAAAAATAATTAATTTTAACAGAAAGTAGGGATTGTTGGTTATTCATAGAATTGCTATAAGTACCCAAAACAAAATAAATGCTGCAATAAAAAGTACACAAACAAAATGATACTAGTTCGATAGATTTTAAAAGTAGGGATTAAAAATCATTTTAAAATCTATCCAATTAGTATCACTTTACTTGTTTGTGTACTTTTTATTTTTATTGGAGCATGAATTTTGTTTTGGATACTTCTTATAGCAATTCCAGGAATAACCAACAATACCTACTTTGTTAAAAGTTTACCCCCCCCCCCTATTTATTTGTTCAGTTTCTGTATGTCCATGGAATAGACACAACATCTATAAACTTTCATTATAGCCATATCCCCGATAGCTATAATATTTACAAGAATTAAAACCACAATCACAAATTTATAAAATTTAATCCTTACTTTGGCCTGCAATTAAGTGTATAAAGTTGCCGGGAGGGTTTAAATTTTATAAATGTGTGATTGTGGTTTTAATTCTTGTAAATA